CCAGAGGCGCTCCGTTTGAAATAACTGATGGTGTGTTGTAAGAATGGGTAAAGTTGGGTCGCTGGGTTTAAATCTTTGTACGGAGCGAGCTGAGCAAGCTTCTAGTTGCTCCACAATATATTTGGTAGTTCCTCATCTCACATGGACTGCGCACCCATGCTTAGTAGAAGGAAAAGATACCATTTTGAGGCAGTTGTGAGACTTCATAGTCTGTCTGCGGTCCCTTATGTGAATGCTGTGACATTTGCAAAACTGCGCTTATTAGATACGCGTCACTCAAGCCAGTTTTCCACGAGGTTTGTTTTTACGTCGATTGTTTCACTTTGCTAGAGCAGAGATTCGTAATCATACTGTCTCATGGAACACGGAACACCGATTTATTTGCAAATTCAGGAGCAGCGCTGGGACAAATGTATTAGAACCAAAGTTCCTAAAGATATCAATAAGGATGGTAAGTCGCGTATTTGGTTGCGGTTTATCTGTAGTACCTTTTGACTCATGTTGTGAAAGACTTGTTTGGTCATCCAGGGTCTGTGAGGTTTTCCAATGATACTGTTAATTCAGATATTCTAAAGCCAGCTTTCGTGCAGTTTTCCACAATGTTGACATATTCAATAATTTATCCGTTCTCTGTGCTTATTCTGCATTGTTTTTGTTAATGGAAGGGTGTATCGAGTGCACCTTAGACACTCCAGCGGGTCACCATAATAAAGCATGTCTGCTATTTTCACGTCGTGTATGAAGTTGAACTTTGACGTTTTTACCTTTTACTACTCCAGCTGTTTTCACCTTGAATTATACCGATGACCTGCTATTGACCTCAAATGGTTCCACCATCAAACTTTTCTTTAAGTTAGAGGACTGACATTACATTTCACACCCTCAACATCTAAGCGTGCCGTTGTTCATCATTTCTAAATTTATTACCCGTTTTTTATTCCATTGAATCTACTGCTCCCAGTTATCTTCCCCGGTCTGATGCCTAAGGATTTCATATTGATCAGGCGCTCTCAGATAAGCATTACTAGATATGGAACTTTATCTTATGAGACGCTAGTTGACTCAGTTGTCAACTAACACCTTAAAGCGTGTGACCAGCTGTGTGAATCAAACCTGTCTGATGCATCGCACCATTTACACTCAACTTTCTCGTTCCATTTCAACTTGTCATCCGCAATAAATTTAAACCTTTGTATACTCGCGACACAGCTTTTCGCAATTCTGTTGTACCTTACCTTACACGTTTGTTGGTTTCTGGGAACGAGTAGCAAACGAACTATTACACAGTCTCATGTAAATTTTCATGCTGCAATTATCTACATTTAATACGCGTTCTCGATTCCTATTCATTGTTGTCTGTATACCAATTGTCATATCTTTAAACCCATTTTAATGGCATGTATAACAAAGCAAAAGTGATAAATTTTTTATTCACGGAAAACTCTGTCCACAATGGGTGAATGAAGTGCATTCTTGGGAAAAGATATGCTGTCTTGGCTTGGGCAAAATGACGCGGTCATCTGCTCACTTGTGCACCTTGGACGTTTGACCTCGTCCAAAGGGCGTATGATCAGATGACCTGGACACAGACCCCCAATGGATTGCAGTTTTCACACCGCCCCCTGCCTTTCGGGTCAAACTTTGGCTAGTCGAAGGCTCCGGTTGTCAATTCCCCAAGAAAATTCACCTGCCTTGGTCTAAGCAACATGACAGTATCCCGCCCATATGCAAATCAGGGAACTTATTTCTTTTTTTAAAGATTATTTTGCCGTTGTTTGTTTGACACAACCTGGCTTAGGACGTGATTTATATATATATATATATTTCATAATCAGTAGTATGTGAATGACTGGACGAAATTTCCTTGGAAGCACACTACCGGTTTCGCGGTTCGTTAGGTAGTTAGTTTTGGGAACTAAAAGTATGAAGCTTGGGACTCCCCCAACGCAATCAGCTTGGTACTAAGCTGGACAAGTAGTTCAAAGCTTTGTCTACCTCGGGAGTCGTATAACGGCTGATGTAGGTGTGGGCGCGTATCCAAAGCTAGATTAGCGTTTACTAATCTAGCGTTTGATAATTTGCGGCATCTCCGGCGCCGGCGTGACATCCCTTTCAGTGAAAGGACGTGTATTGGGCTACGGTACTCACCGTGTCGATCTATAGCTGTGAAACATAGCCTTCCAACCATTATCCGTCGTCGACAACTGTTTTCTGCGCAACATCGCCCGTGTATGGTGGGAGTATCGCGTGAATCACGATGAGTTCAGACGTGTGCTAGGATCAGTTAGTCTTCCGTTGAGCAAAGTAATATCACTGCATCGTCTTAGGTAGCTAGGGCCTGTTCAATGAATGCCTGAGCCACGTCTGCCATACCGTGCGCTATTCGCAGACATCGGTCCCCGCTGGAGGAGACAATGAGTTGGGTAGGCTATGATTTGGCACTGACGGTTAAAGAGACTACCTGAATCTGGCTCCCCGGCTGGGGCCCCAAAGATTCAGATTGTCTGGCTGGAGACACTGCGGGATATGGCATCGAACCGGAGCCATTGCCTTTCCTGTGTGCGATCCCAAAAATACACAACGAAAAAATCTCAAAATGCCATGCGGTAAACAAACAAAACTTTTCTTATTCCTCCAAGTTGACTTTTTGTTTCCCTTGCTTCTTTTCCTATATTTTTCGTTAACCCATGGTTATTTTTGGCGCCATATCGGTAAAGATTGGTGTTAAATATATATACTAACCTGGACGACAGCGAAATTCTTTTATTTCCAGGCACGTCTGCCTTCAAACGGTGTGCCAGGGCAATCACGCTACAATAATCTTTAGAAGTAAACGTTCCATTATTTGCTCGAGGGCGCGATAATGAGAGGTTGTCCAGGCCAAAGCAGGTGAATTTTTTTTATGGAATTCACAACCTCCACCTTCGTCTAACCAAAGCCTGGCCCGCAAGGCAGAATGCCGGTGTGAAAACCACAATCCATTGGGGGCCGGTGTCCAGTGCATTAGATCATACGCCAATTAAACGGGATCAAACATCCAAGTTGCCCAATACATCGGCATGATTAACGGTTGTAAAAGCTTCACTGATCTGAAAGGTTGTATAACACTGAGGGACGTAGTTGAAAGAGCTTTTTGTTGCTGTCGTTTCGCTTAAGTCAAAAACTGGTAAACACTGTCTGTTCGGCCCTGCTTTACGTCAACACCTCGGGTATACAGATGAAAGGAAGAAATTAGTAGTATCAGGGTTAAATATGACAAATATGATACTGGAGAATTCCTTTGTAAGCTACCAGTTCTCTACACTAGTTACTTTAAATGATTTTTTCTTGCGCACAGGTGCATGTGAGATGCAAAACGTTATTATACTCAATCTTCTCTCGCCGCAACATTTTGTGCTGCTTGTCTTTTTGGTCTGTTTAGTGTTGCTTTAGCGGCGTCGAGAAACCGCCCTAGCAAAGAACCAGATTTCAATCAATAAAGTTAGTTTCAGATGAGTCCACAATTGACTGTGCCAAGCTTGCACCCATCCTCCAGAATTATAGATACGGGTATACACGTTTGGTGGTGAAGCTGTATTCTTTCAAATTTTTGCTTGATCCATGTTTTCGTGCCGGTCCACGAAATGTTATCTCATCCTGACACCGCATAAGATTTCACACGCGTCTGAGTCCCGGCTGTCAAACATTTTACTGTACGATAGTCTTTATAGCAAAGACGAACGCCCCTAATTTGCTAGTGGTTGAGGTACTGCCAGGTTGCCCTGACCAAAGCAGGTGAATCTTCTTAAGGAATTCATAACCAAATCTTTTAACTAGCCAAAGTCTGACGCACAAGGCAGCGGAACGGTCTGAAAACCGCTGTCAATTGGGGGCTAATGTCCGGTCCATCGGAGTATTCGCCCTTTAGACGGGGTCAAACGTCCAAGGAGGTGAATGCACCTCAATGCACAATGAATCTGGTGACTGCTACAACCACTATCAAGGTGTTTGGTTTGTACACCTCTTCTTGATTTGTTTAGAATTAGGGTTTTGGGACAACTCTAGGTGAACTGCCACTGGTTCACCGTTTCCGTTATATCCCCGAATCTGAATTTTTCATCCTCTCACATCGGTGAGGGAACATCTCAGCCACGGAAAGGAAGTGAGTAGGGCTTTGGCAACAGAGGCTATTTGGGATGCTTAGTCGTGTGGGAGCTTTGCGCTGGGTGCAAGAGAAGCGTAACCATCCTCAACTCGAGGACCCCCTGAATCTGAAGAAAACGTCTTCTTTCATGGACTGCTTTAATTAACCGCATTCAAGCGAATCTTAATTGTAGTAAAGTGAAATTTAATCGTGTTCGGGTCAGTTCATTTAATTGCTTGTTGTTTTTACGTTACTCCAGTTATGATTGTTTGCGCAGTGTTTCAGTGGGAATTTTCGATTTTTTATTAGGAAACCAAAGGTGGCAAATCGTTCTACAAAGTGGGGTTTGTCATTGTCAACCTGGCTTCATTTACGGCAATGGGGAGTGCTACTTGCCGCCGTAGATATATTTTGGAAGGATACGACGAAAAACACAAGCGACAAGATAACTCGCTGTTGTCGGTTGCCTTTTCAATGCGCCAAATTTTTGGTGACACTTATTTTCGAATGTGAGTCTTTCTTATCTTGACCTGCTAATCACTATTGTGCTTGATAGTCTGTTTCGTAGGTGGTGATTATAATAATCGAGTGGAGAAATTTTAGACTGGATCATACAAACTGATGACAATATTACGTTTCAACATATTTGTTCACTCGTAAATTATCTTAGTTGTTTTTGTGCAAGAAATAATTGATTAGCATTGCGTTGGGATCCAGGAAACTAGAGAAGTTATCTACTTCCTAATGTGTGCTTCATTTAATTTAATTTTTATCTCACTTCTGTATCTCCAAACTGTTTCAGTCCTCCCGAAAATTTGAGTAACTGTCTTGTCGAACCTCCTGACTCTGACGAGGGTGAAAGTCTAACCACAGTAGAAACTGAGGGTCCCTCAGTGGAAAGAAATCTTGTAAGCGCTGGTCCCATCGGAGCGCTACTTAGTTCGGATGTTGTGGTACCAAATGGCCATGCTTCGTTTGAACGGCGCCTGCACACGTTAAATCTANCTAGATCCGCTGGTTTCGGCTCCAGTTCGATCCAACTCGTCAATTTCCCCGTGTTTCTCTCGTATTTCTCATTTGGTCAATCAAACTCCCTCCGGAAGTAAGTTCCTCCGATTTTTCTTCCAAACTTTCATTTATGGATATCAGGTGCTGTTCTCTCTATGATCGCTGTAGTTCTTACTATTGACCATTATACACTAGCTCCAGTTTACCTATGCGGGTCCACCAGTATTTTTATATATTTCGAATTCTCTGTAACTTTCAAGCGTAACCAGACCCTATAACACCGGTCTGTTTTAGGCTCTATGGGGTTTTCCACTCCGAATCGCAGTTTTAAGATGGTTGTAAGTTCGCGCGACCACAAGGTGTTAACTCTGGTTCCATCATGTGTCATAATTA